AAAGTCTCTCCTATGAGGGCTGGGACTCTGTCCTGAGGAGTTGTCATGAAATCCTACCACTTTTCTTGTCAGTTCAAAAATATGCTTCCACAGCTTGATTGTGAGATAGACGGATTGTTTGTTTGCGTTTTCTCTGTGGAAAGTTTGATTCACCTGAGAGATGGAGAGGAAAGAATACTAAAAGAGGACACTAATCTTGTTGATCTTTACGTGATACGGTTATTGAAACTGCCTGTTCTTTAAGTAAGAGAGGTATGAGTTGAGCGTAAATTTGCACAGCATTAATGTATCCTGTCAATGCAAGACTCCAAAAGAAAATTCTGGCACCATCCAAGCCACCTAAATATTTATATATGAATCATCAGTTTTGTCCCATGTAATTTCTCAAACACTAAACACTAAGCCCAGAGAAATGTTCCCTTGCCTCCTCCACCAGAGCACTGCCTTCCACTGTGTGTCCTCCTAGCAGAGAGCTTTCACATCAGGGCAGAGAGGGAATATTCTGAGCTCAAGCCCAGAGCCCTGAGTTCCTTAGGGAAAATAAGGAAGAAAGATTTTCTCAATACATCTATGGCAAAACTTTAGGGTCCTTCCTCTGAGACCTGGTCTTCTCTCAGTCAATGAGCTTGAGAGTAGGAACTGACTTAGGTCGAGGAACTGAGTCAGAAGCCATGATTTTAGGCTTCAGCTCCCCTGACCTAGAGTTTTCCAGTGATAGAGACAAAATACTCTAAGAGCCTGCACAAAGATTTAATTTCTAATAATATGTGCAGTCAATGATCTACTGTGCCACCTTCTGACATTACTTGTCCTTGTACATTTTGGAAAATGTACACCTTCTGCCTGTGCAGGTTATTATGACCATCTGGCCTGTAATACTCTCTGACGTCACTGGTCATAGACATTGTTCCCTGGAAAGCAGACTCACATCGAATGTAGCATGTGGGACGCTGGTTGGGGAATGTTCTTGAGATCACCATCTCTGGAAAGAGAAAGCAGGATTGGGCAGAGAGGGAGTGGAGCTGGATGGGGTAGAACAAAAGTCTAAGCCAAGCCCCCCAGGGGGTGCAGCCCTGTGGTAGGTCTCCAGAGT